TTAAATTTCTCGTTTTTTAATTGTTTATTAGTCGCATCACTTTGTCGTACTTGTTGCTGCTGTTTGATTTTCGTTTTCTCCATTAATTCGGGAAATGCCATTTGATCAATATAATTCTCCGTTTGTTCTGGTTTTTTAATATGTCTCGATTTTTTTTTCTTGTGTGATTCTTTGCTCAAAACTTTATTTTCATCTAATTGTTGTTGATCTAATCGCTGACCTTGTTCGTTCTGTGGAATTTTCAAATCTTTATCAAATGTTAAATTGCGATAATGTGCATTATCAAGACCAAAATAATCGATATTTTTATTGTCTATTATATCTTTATCAAGAAATGACCACAATTGTTCTTCGATTTGACGATTTTTTTCACTGGTCGGATTATACCGTTCATATAATTTTTCAATTAAAAGACGTTCACTTGATTTATTTTTTAAATCAATACGTATTTTACCGTATGTTGTCGTTTTTGTTGAATATTTACTATGTGGTAAAGGAAGACTGGATGGTAGCTCGGTGAGAGATGAATCAAAATCATCGCTATGTTTAGGTTCAGTCATTCTGAACCAATTGAAAAATAAAAAGTCTAAGAAAAATATGATCCCAAGTATTAAATTATTAAATTTTAGAGAAATGATGTTCACTAGATCTGAAATTAATACAACATACTTTCAAATCTGTTAGCTGTGACTTAGTTTTGACGGTAACAATATCATCTACTCAATAAAATGTTGACACTGTACCTGTGTGTATTCACTATTTTTTCGAGACTTATTATTAAATTTTTCGGCTGTAAAAGTAGATTTTTTTTGCTCTCTTGATATACACAAACAGTAAAACAGAAGCAATTACATATTTCCTGTTGTTATGCCTACTTCTTTTTAAATACTTTATACATATATATATATATATAGCTCTCTTTCTCTCTCACTGTTGTTTATTCTTTATTTTTTCTATCTGCTAGTTATATTGCTTAAGCTCATATGACTTTGTTCATTCACAATCTTTCAAGGATAAAGAAATCCAAAAAAATAAAATAACATATTTCCAAAAGAAAAAATAACACAATAATATCACATAAAACCATGGAAAAAAAAAGAAACAAACGGAGAATTATATTGATCAAATGGCATTTCCCGAATTAATGGAGAAAACGAAAATCAAACAGCAGCAACAAGTACGACAAAGTGATGCGACTAATAAACAATTAAAAAACGAGAAATTTAA